GCTTTGTGGGCTCCGAGTCACATCCGGCGTGTTTCAGTTCTCTCCTTCACCAAAAAAACGTATGTGAGGTGTTTCCCTCTTCAGCCATGGCTGAAATACTGTCAAATACTAGTGCTCCCCCCTCCCCCCCACTGAATTGTTGGTTTGCATGAGAACCAGCTGGGACGACTGACTTGGGGCCCAACCCAAATCCAGTAACTCAGTCGGGGCCGGGGAATCTGCATTTTAAAAGGCAGCCACTCTTCCTGGGTGCTGCTTCCACGAGGGCCCCCAAACCTACCTGGACACACAGCCGTGTAATGCAGCGGCCCACACGCTCTCCCGCTCGTGTGCTTCACATCCTGTGCCCCCACGCTCATAAGCTGACAGCTAACATTTTTCATGGGAAGTTAGAGTTGCCAAAGTATATACTTTCTGGTGTCATGTAAATATTGATATTTTAAAATAAAACTGTTACATCACTCTTTTAAACATATTCAGCGTAACTGAAATACACAGCAGTCTGACACTCATCATCCATTTACAAAAATAAATGAGTAAGTTGTTTAGTAGTTGAAAATGTCTTTTCCTCCTATGTATATTTCCATACCACTTTCAGCAAAGAATGCGATCATCTGTTTTTCTGCTTGAAAGTTTTTTTGTCATTCAGCCTATCTTCTTGCCAACAAAAATACAACTTTTTTAGTTTTTCAGTTGTTAACTCAGTATGGAATAAATATTATCAGCTATCAAAAGACAACTGATGAATATTATATTATAAATTTTTGATAATTAAAAGTTAACATTTTATTAGAATGCTCTTTATCCTAATGAGTTCATTTACCCAAAAACACATGTTGTTTATAGCTAACAAAAGACAACATTACATATGTAAACACAGAAATAAGCAGATGGGCTAGAAAAAATTCTGCTGTAACAATGTCACGCAGTTCTCTGAATTCCTTCCAAACTGCATATTCAGTGATTGTTTAGCTTAACTGTTGAGTAGATCCTCCTTCCGTTTGCTGAAAGCAGAGAACTAGGAACTACCTGCCTTGCTAAGGATGTGTTTGTTAGTGTAATCATTTATGGCTGGTGCCCTGAGGCAGATCAGTTTTCGGACAGAGCATATACCCACACCGACGAACCGTCCAGGGAGTGAAGACCAATGCTTGAAGGATTATAAATGTAGCAGCTATGAAAAGACTGTGACTGCAATACTGGTAAAATAACGCTTACCTGTTTACCTCTGTGTTCTTCAGAGCGGCGTTAAAAGCTATGCTTTTGCTAACAAAACAAACCCAAAACCAAACACAGGTGGGTCCAAACATGCAAGGAGCACCCACTCCATTCTGCCCTTGGAGGGGGGAGGGGATGCTGTGGGGTAAGAAAACACAGCTTCTACATGAACCAAGGGTGTCTGGCTTATCTGGTTCTATAACAGAGTATAAAGGACCAGCACAGAATCTTGGCTACCAGCATACGTTTATCGAGTGATTCTAATCTTTCCATAGAAATGATGGCACATACAATTGGGGAAGGGTATTGAATTCAGATTAATATTTCTATTCATTTTTAAATATAAATATGTCCAAGTTCAAATTGTTTTTTTGATTCAGACTATTTCCTGACAACACGGTTGCCTTACCATCTGTCGCCTTGTTCTTTCCATTGTCCTCCAAGTAAGCCCACGTAAAGGATGTTTAACGCAGCTGTGAGACCCTCTTCGGCCAGACCTGGAATGTGGAGTGAGTCCCCCACTGCTGTTTAGTACAAATCTTTAATCAGACTAATTCTGCTCAAAACCCCAGAGCATCTCTATCAAAAACAGAGCAGAAGTTTTACATTAACTTCAGTTTAGTTGAAAGCTTTCTGCTTAACCCCACACCGATCTGTACGCACGGTTATTACTGTGTGTAGCGCTTTACACGTGCAGCTCTGTTCTCACAGTCCTAGGATGTAGGTAATACGTGATACGTAATTTTGAAGGTAGGAACCTGGCTTGGAACAGAGCTAACAATGTTAGGGATTGACTCTATGCTTCCTTTAAGTAACTCCCCAGAAGGTTCAAAATAAAACCCGTGTGTGTGTGTCAGTAGATAATGCAAACTTCAATAGGAGGATGTGAAACTAAAAGGCTTTGGTCTCTGGGGGGTTCCTCCTCCAGAAGTTGTCTGATGTGACTGAGGGCGAACGGTCCTGGCTTTCCTGGATGGCAGGGTTATGCCCGGCCTGGGTTTCCATTACCTGGAAGAAGGGCTGGATAAACAGGGCCACCAGGAGCGCAGGCCCCGGCTCTGCGGCGTCCTCCGTCGTCGCTGTAAGTGACGTCGGCGTTCAGGGCTGTGGGTTCCGCCCTGCCCTGGGCTGTCGCTCCTTCCTACCACAGACCACATTTCTTGGACAAGGTGAAGGATGGGAGCACACATGTTCATGTTAAAATGTGAATTTTAATTGTAAAAACTGTTTTCTGTAAATAAAGTTGTATCAGCCTCTCTGCAGACAACTTGGTTCAGATATATACAGATATGATATACACAGACGCTGTTTGTACCACAGAACAAGGTCAGGTCAAGACACATTTACTCTCCAGGATGAACCCCCAGCTTTCTTCAGGCCTTTAAGTGATTGGCGTTGAAGAGAGAGAAAAACATATGGAGCTGCTGTATATTTAGGGAGAAATTTATCACCTGCCTTCCTAACTTCATACTATGAGGTAAAGACTTAAACCAAAGACTGATTCTGTTTCTCTTATTGCTGTAACTCTGAACACTGGGGCATCGATCAAAATAGGGGTTTGACATCGAAGGCGACAGGGAGGCTCTATGCTGATCCTAGCTGGAAGACAGCAGAACTGTTTCCAAGGCTTACGACTGCTTTTTCACCTAAGGTTTATTTCTCAGACCTATAAAAAATGTAGCCAACAGGCTCGGGGGAAATAAAGGAGGTTAGTTTTGTGCTCCTCTGCTCTGCACCCCACAACCTCCTGCCCAGGCTGCTCAAAGCATAAGGCTCTCTCCTTCCCTCCCTGGACTTCCAGCTACACCGAGACTTGTTTCCTCAAGCTGCCGCCAGAATTTTTTTTAGACTTTTAGTTTTGCTTGGTTTGGCCAAAGGAAGGAGTTTTCACTCCCATGTCAACGATGTACGTTAATAACCAGCTAATTCAGTGGCCTGTGTGGGGATTCTTCACTTTGTGGGGCATCTCTGGCTGGTTCAGAGCACCACACCCCACCTCCGCACCCCCCAGCTGTCCTCAAAGCAAAGTCAGTGGACCAGTAGACTCAACAGGCATTCTACAGCAAGCAGAGGTCACTCATACCTCTCCTCCTATGGTAATTAAATACACTTTCTGACTTCACATGCCATTCTCTCTAAAAGCCCATACTGAGCCGAGCTTCTAGAAGAAACGCTCAAGACATGAAAGCAGGGCCTTACCTCTCCATCGCCATTTCTCTGTACAGCCCTAGAAAATTCTTAGTTCCTTTCTGAATGTGCAGTTTCATCCAGCTGCCCCTGTATTCTAGCTCCAAAGTGAGTTAAAGTGCAAGTTACAAAGCTACCTCTGACCGCCTCCCTCCCCCACCCCCAGTGAAGAGGCCTAATGATCAGCACGGTCACATTTGCTTCCTTTTGTATGAGAGTATTCCTTAAGCTCGGTGACCGGCTGTGTGTCATCCTCCCTGGGACTGTCCATTTTGTCCCCTAAGGAGTGCTGTTCGATTTCACAGGACAGTCCTTATTCACTCTTCAAAACATTTAAATCATAAAACTTTCACGAGGTCTCGGTTGCTTCCAAATTACAATACTTCCCATTTATTCTAGGATGATAGTTTTGAAATCTCCTTCCATTTCAACATCTGTATACTCAATTCATCATATAGTAATATTGATATAAAAATAAACTTCCATTTCTTATAAGAAAAACATTGACTTAATTCACAGTTAGCCTTTTCCCACAACACTCAGCCCTCCAGTAGCTCCTGGGAACAGAGGTATATTAGTAATACAAATGGAATATTACAAATCCATGACCTGGGAGTAAAAGGAGCTCTTAACTCCTTCTCTTCCCCTACCTGAATCAGAAAGGGGTTTTCCTGAAATGAGAGGGGACGGACTGGCCGCTGGGGTAAGACCGCCCCCGGGTCTGCAGGATCCTCACCGCAGGGCCCAAGTGTAACAGGGAAAGACCCGAGGACCAGCCTCCTCAGATTCCGAGCCCCGCAGCGAGGACCCTAAAAGGGAGATGAAAGCCTGTGTGTGACACCTTGGTCCCTGTGTTAACTTTCTTGCCTGTTAAAGAACTGTCATCACACGAAGGCAAGTTCACTATCCAGCTGAACATTGTCTAACTGTCTTCAGCAGTGCCCTCCCCCTCCTTTACCTCTGCAAGTGCGATCTGTTGGGACTGGAGAAAGCACCTCAATCCGTTCCCTGGCCTCTGCAGTTTCATTTAAAAAAAGAAGGATAAAAGAAACCCAGTCCCTGAGGTCCCTGCCTCCTCCTGGAGGGTGGCAGTATTACCATTAAAAGGTTAATTCATCACTGCCCTTCACAAAAGGTTCCCCAAAGGCCTCAGTTTAAAGCTGAATAATCTCATCTTTTTATTGTGTTTGAAGGGCTTCCAGTGTATCAAGACCAATAGCAAGTCCATCCTCTTAAGCACCAGAATCAAAAACAGGGATTCACCTATAATTTCATGTCGCTTTACCTTCTAGCTAAAATACCACCCAGATGAATGAATACTCACATGCGGTTCTTAGAGCTACCTGCACCCTGTGCTGCACCTGCATTTCCCATCTTGATTTTCACCAGGGACAAAAGCAAGGTCAGTTATAGATGCAGATCCCTATGCTAAACTATTTCTAGCAGACTGTCAATGAATTCAGCTTCCCTTCCCCAGCCAAATGTTAGAAGAGATGCCGTGACGGATGACGGATCTGGGAGGCACGGGCCTTCTCATTCACAGCAAGCACAGGGCCCCAGCTGGGACAGTGACGTCGGAAAGGATCTACACCAGCCTGAGTGCTTCATGCTTAACAAAAGCCAAAGCTAACTCTAAACAACTAATTGGCCCATACTTTTTGGTCTGGTAAAAGGTAAGTCCTACTATTTCTGACTCCTGAAGCATCTTAATCCACAGGCCAACTAGACCTTGCCCTCAAGGCTGAATATCACCATTGGCCAAGCCTGCAAACTTGAGAAACCCATCTTACCAGACATAAATAAACCCCAAGCCTGGATTCGAGGCCCCGCAAGGACTCCTGCCACCTAGAATTTCTTCTAACTTGATTCAAGGTTGAGCCAGCAGTCCCCGTGTCCCAGGTTAGCAATGTGTCCAGGTTAGTACGTGGCTCACAGCATGGTGTTAAATCAGGCTTCAAGGTCCCAGAAGCCAGCTGGGGCAGGGGAGGGCGGAGGTCTGAGAGTCGAGAGGCGCAGACGACCACCCTCAGTCAATGCACCACACCCGAGGTCCCCAACCCTGCTCCAGAAGGCCAGTGGTGGTAACCCCTGCCCCTACAGAGAACAGGGAAGGCCGTTCACCACCGTCTCCCACACAAAAGCAGGTGGTTTCCCAGAAAATATCTCAACAGTGACAGAAAATCAGGCCTGTGTGGCTTCAAGCTTCTGCTGTCACCGTGCAGGGACTCCTGCCTGGCACGTCACTAACGAATTGCCCTTTCAGAGACCTGGCAGCGAGTGAGGCTGGGCTGTGCTGCTTACCCGAGAGATGAGGGAGAACGCAGCAGGGTGGGAGCCTTCAGAAGGTGACCTCGGAAGTAAGAGGCCCCGAGCTCCATCCCAGGCAAGAACCCCTCAGGGGGTGACAGGGATGCAGGTGACTACGGGCATGTCAATCAGCCAGGCAGAGGCAGTGTGGCACCAGCCTCCTGGCCCCACGAGGAAGCTGGCAAGGTCCTCTTCAAGCACTCCCGGGAGGGAGGGGGGTAGTTCTGCTCTCGGGTCAGCTGAGCTCAGGCTGCGTATGACCTCAGACGTGGCACTGCCCCAGGGGTAAGCCCTCTCAGGGGCACCCCACCCCAGCCCGCTGCACAAGCATCGCAGGGCTGGGGGAGATGCACAGAGACACCAGACGGACGGCTGCCTAGAACATCATGGAGTTGAAAGGAGCCCAGAACCCCGGGTCCACCATCCAAAGGGAAATACAGGAACCTTATTTTCATCCCATTACCTTTGCACCAGCACCTCTGAGCTTGGAGCTACAGCACCATAGAACAGACATGTTTGCGTGCAGAACGCCCCTGGAGCAGAAGTGCTTAAAAGAGTATTCCGCCAACAAATTCCCCAACTCCACAGAATGTGTCTGCCTGTGTCCTCCAAGAGAATCTGACCTCTCCTCTCACTCCCACCCCTGCTTCTGGCCCCTGACACCCCCCCCTTTAGAAAACCTTGAACCTTTGGGTACCACTAAAAGTAACCTTTACTTGACCCAAGTTAGAAAGGACGCTCCTTTTCCAGGGGCAAGAGGAGACGGTCGCTCTTCGAGGAAAAAGGCAGTGAAGCTTCAGCTTCTAAACACAGACTTTTTTTTTCTTTTGTAAACATATATATTACTGAAATGATGGCTAAACCCACAGAGGAGAAAAATGTACTGTACAGTTTACATTTCAATGCCCAAACTTATTTATATATTTACATAAAAGATGCTACCTTGATTAATCAATGTCTGTTTGCATTTCCACATGTGAATTTCTCTAGTCTTGAACTTCCTATTAAGGAGCTAAAGTGAAAATATTTTGGAATCAAGCAATAAGCCCTATAAAGCTGTTTTTGAGATAAGAATTATGATGCATCCATTTGAGGGTTATTTCTCTCTGCTGTGTACATCAGCTTGGCTGGAACTTGGTCCCAGACACGAATCCACTGATGGCTATTCCAATAACAGAGCCAGGCAGGAAGGGTGGAGGGGAAGAAATTATTTGTCACCAGCAGCCCGGTATCCCAAGTCAAAAATCCTAAACTGGTCCAAAAAACTAAACTCTTGCTCAGAGGAGGCAGCTTCTCTGGCTAACAAACTGTCACTGCCTCCCGTAAGCTGGCATCCACTGAACGCCCCAAAGAGAACAGGCAGGGGCCGACAGGAGCTGTCCCAGGTCAGAACATTCCAGAGGAAAGCAGGGAACCCCATCACCCACACTTGGGGTTCCTGGCCACTTTCCTGGCTGAAGGCACTGTCACATCTGCTCTCTAACAAACCTGTTACGTCTCTGGTCCCAATTACTGAGCTCAAGGAATGTCATCTCTGCTAAAGACAAGTGCGTCTGTGAGGGCTCAAAATTGTACACAGTCTGGCTGACACCTCCCCACAGGACCCTGCCAGCCCATCCCGAGAGGAGGGGAATCAGAGAAAGAGGACTAGTACATGAATGGCCACCATGAACTTACTCTGAGAAAGGTTTCAAGGCTGCATTTTACAATTTTAGTTTTCAGCTGACTGAAGCAACCTCTCTCCCTGTCATCTGTCCTGAGAGAAGCTCATACTTGGTGTCAGAAACATCCTTTGTCCCACTTTGAAATCTACTCACGTGAACAGAGAAAACAGAGATTTACCCTAAGTAACAGGAAAAGGGATTCAATATCAAGACTAGACTCCCAGCACTGATAAAAACCTTCAAAGGCCATCTGGTGTAGCTGCTGCTTCGGGCAGACTGACATCCAAGGCCATGCTGGACAGACAGTTGTCTCATTCTCGAATTCACCCAGGGACAAAGACCACAGAGACTTTCTGAACAGTCCCTCCCAGCTGTTTCCAGAGCTCAGCCCGCTCCTGGTGACACTCGGCCTTTGCCACATCTCCTCAAGTCACTCAACAAAAAGATGAGAGAATCTACCTTGAGAACGCCTAAGACCAAACCAGGCGGCAGCTCTGAAAGTGGCAGCTCCCAATGACCTACCAAAGCAGGACACAAAGCCAGGGCGCGCTCATCTTACCTCTAGGGAGGAAGGGAAGAGAGGAGATGCAAAGATGACATTTGTTGGAAGTACAAACAATATTCCTCTGTGTCAACTTAATGAAAAAAATCAGGCCATCGGGAGCCTGGGTACACTTCCCACGTGACAGTGGCTCACAGTCTGGCTCACGCCTCCTACGGGCAGCAAGGGTTGTCAATGACCAACATAACATCAATGCCGTATGCCTCCAGCAGGTCCATAAGAAAGCTCCGATCTCCCTGGGGGTCCAGACCCATGCCCCGGGCATGCTCGGCCGTCAGCGTTTTGTCTTGACTGGCGGACACCTCCAACAGAGTCTGAAATATCCGGTTGTTCTGCTCGAGGAAAAACCTGCATTTGCAAGACAAGACATGGGGAAGGGAGAGCAGAAGAGAAAAAAAGCTCACCCAGTAACCTGCACGTGGGGACCCAAACTACACTCTTTTGTTTGATATGCCTTTAAATGGTTTCCAAAGTCTGACACATCTTTTAGAAGAAGAAAACAGGAAGTTAAGGAGTTATTAAAGTGCTACTAAGGTCAGCAAAGTACTGGCATTAGCCATGGTGTGATTAACAAAATCTCCGAGTAAGGGATGGCCTGACTGCCAAAAACATACTTTCCTCTTAAGAGGGAGGTTACCAGGGGTTTAAGCACAGCTTTAGGGAGAGGGCCCCACATGTTGTGTTCCTCTCTTTCTGCTCCATCAGAAAGGGAAGAGAAAGAATTAAAAAAAAAAAACAAAACCAAAAAAACTGACCATGCAGTTCAGAGGTCAAGACCTAATGTGAGAAGCTGAAATCCACTTTCGAAGCCCTGGACGGGCAATCAGAGCCAGAGGCAGGCTCTGAAATGGCTCTCCAGCCCCTGAGCCTTCCACACAGAAGAGCTGGAGCTCAGAGAGCTGGGGCGGGCAGGGGGTGGGCTGAAGCCAGCCATGCCTGAGCGGGGAGTAAAGAAAGGGGAGTCAGGCTGGAGGTACCCCTAGTGCCACAGCTCACCGTTATCCGTGGGTATGTGTGTTCCTTTGCTTTTTTGTTTGAGTTATGCACAGAACATGCTTTGAACGTCAGTGACCCACAGTGCTGTATGAATGTATGAGCCGTGTTCAGAAGAGGCATTAACTGCCTAGACTTTTCAGCTGTGTTGCACAGAGCACAGGGCCCAGTGCCCCCGGCCGCTCTGAGCGCTCAGGAGTACCAGGCTCAGGAGTACCAGGCCGGAGAGGAAGAAGCCAATGTGTCAAAGCTCGATCAGACTGCTGGCTCTGTGCTCAGTTCCCAGACATTTTTACATCTAAACAGCATGAATGCGTAACAAAGTACACTCTTTTAGAATCAAAGTCCTGTGTCTTTGTGGAACTGTCCACATTAAGTTTTCAATCTCAAAGCCAGAAACAGTGCTAACTGCAAGTGCTCTTTCCCTGCCCCCACCCCAGTACGTGGGGTGGGCAGGCCAGACAGGCAGCGAGGAGGAGCGCTTCTAGTCCAATTCCAGTTCTGTTCTCATCACCGAGCACTATTTCACACAGCGGCTTATGAATGGAATCAGTGCTGGGGGGTATTAAGACCATGGCTCCTGCCCACATTTTGGGGGGAGAGGAATTTTATTAGATTCAAGAGTTAAATTTTCTGATGAGCCTGCCATACTCAGCACAAGGAACCACACTATTCAAAGGAAGCAATGGGTGGGGAGTCCCTGAATCCCCAGCGACAGACAGAGATCCCGGGTGGTGGTCATGTGGCTGGAAATGTTCAAAGGAAGACAAATGCCAGGACTCCCATTTTCTCTTAATGATCCTTCCCTGATGTTTAACTCTCCTGGGTCCCCCCTAATGGTATTTCAGGGCTCAGGTGGGCTGTGTGTGGAGCCCAGCTCTAAGTGCCCTTGGCGGCAATAAAGGACATCCTTGGACTGCAGCCGGGAACAGGGGAGGGGTCCAGGCCTGGGACGCGAAGGGATCCTCAGGGAGGCCCACGACTGCCGCCGGGATGACTTACAGCACAAAGAGGTCCTCTTCACAAGGGTTATAATCTCCTTCTACTTCCTGGGAATACAGCAGCATCTGCCTGTGGGGAGGAGGTCACCATCAGAGTCTGATGGGGCTATAGCGACCCCAGCCAGAGGCTAGGTCACTGGCCAAGCAGCTGCACGGGCCACCACCTCCCCAGAAGGAGGCTGGCCCAGAGCTACACCCCTCAACCCCCACCCTCTGCTCCCTGCCCTGTCCAGAGGCAGGGATAGAAGGGGCCGGAGAGGAAGAAGCCAGGCTTGGAGTCAGGGGCAGATTCCACCCCTGTGTGATCCCAGGCAGGTGGACACCTTTCCTAATTATCCATAATATCGGGATGAAGTGATGATGCCACTGATGTTACTGCTGATACCAACATGCTTCCTCGGGCTTCACAGATTCGAGAGGCTGCCAGAAGGAGGTCGCCCCATGCAGCCGGCTGCCCTCCCGTCAGGGCAGTGTGTGCTGGGAGCCCGGCTGCGCTTCGCCCCTCCAGCTCCCAGCAGACGGGCAGAAATGCTCAGAGGACAGAGAAGGGGTGGAGGGCGGGCTTGAGGGGCACCCCGTCCCCCCACCCCGCGCTCAGGGCGCGCCGCCCAGGCCCCGGGGCTCTACCTCTGCTCGTTCAGCCGTCGGAACTTCTCCCTGTCCGCGCTGTTGATCTTCAGCAGCGGCTGCAGGTGGTCGTGGTGCGTCCGCACGTTCTGGTTGTCCACGTAGACGTCGTACAGCTCCCGCTTCTCCTCGAAGATCTTCTCCGTGGTGCCTGCGGGCCCTGGGGATCAGGAGGCGGGACCGCGGAGGGCGGCCCCGGGGGGAACCACCCCGACCCGGCCGGGGAACCCGGGGACCGGGGGGCCAGGGAGGGGGGCCCCCGGCGGAGCTGGCCCTGGCAGGCGTTCGGGGCAGAGATGCGCGCGCAGGATGGGGAGGGCCCCGTACTCACAGGCCACATAGGACAGCTCTACCTCCAGGCTCTCGATGTCGGCCACGTTCACGTAGAAGAAAGGCTTGGACTCGGGAACGGTGCCCCCGATACCGGGCAGAGAGACGTTGGCCAGGCAGCAGCAGCAGTACACTGCGGGCACAGGGCAGGTAAGGGGGGCCTGGGCCCCTGCAGCCGCCTCCCCCGAGCCTGCTGGCCACGTCCCTGAACGCTCGGCCTCCACCCGCGTGGCCTCCGCCGATACTGCTGGGGGCAGGGCTTCGTGCTGACCTGGCACCCTGAGGAGAGCGGGGGTGGAGGGGCACGCCTTTCAGGCCCCGCAGCAGAAACCAGATCTCAAGGTCACGCCACCAAGGTCAAATCCAACGGGGACACGTTTTAGCCTTCGTCCCACGAGGTCTTGCTTAGGAATTAGCTACCTGTGACCTTGCTGGCTGCCACCCTCGCATCTTCTGACCGTGTCCCTCAGCCTCCTCTGCCCTCCTCCTTTATCGGTTCACCTCCTGGGCCTGCGTCTTCAACGCTGGCACGTCCCTCCCCACTCACTCTCCCCAGGTGATGCCACCCACCCCACGGCTGTCCGCACAGTTTCTGTGCCACCCTCAGCTCTGTATCTCTGGCCTGGCTTGTCCCCCAAGGTCCTGACCCAACTACACCAGTGCCTAGTGTCCCTCTCGAGAAGGCCTTACAGCAGCACACAACTGTCATGTCAAAAGTTACGTGTCATAACCCCCCGCCACCTGCTCCTCCTCAGTGCCCCACCTGGCGGCCCCACCATGCTTGTCATGTCATCTTAGACTCTTCCTCCGTTACCTCACACACATCCGAACCTTACAACCCACTCAGACACCAAAGTTTGTCAGGTTTCACTCTTAAGTATCACTCGAATCCATCTTCTCTGCCTTAATCCAGACCCTTATCTCTCACCGGACTACTGATTTGTCACCCAATACATCTTATGTATTACCAGAGTCCACATTTAAAAATACAGATCCAACCATGTCACTCCTGGGCTTAAAACCTGTGCACTTCCGCTCCCCCCACCCCCCAGACCCCAAACGGCTCAATCTCTTCTGACCTCGGTCAACCATGGAAAGACTCAGGCAGTTTCTTTTGCAGAGAACCTGGGAAGAGCCCCTGACTTTGGCTTCTAGTTACCTCTATAGCATACGACGCCCACAGGAGGGGGAGAAAATATCAAAATGCGCTTTCGAAGTAAGGCAAATTTCCAAAGGATGAGGATCTGCTCTCCAAAGAACTTAATAAACTGAGACATGCAGCCAGCTGGGTGTGTGATCTGAGAAAATGAAAACCGGGTGGGGGGCAGGGAGGGAGGAAGAGCTTATTAGAAATATTGCAAAAAATATTCAGTACAGGTATGTGCTAATCCCCCCCCCAAAAAAAACCCCTAAGATATATAATCAGATAGATACAATAAGGGACGGTTACCTCTACATAAAATGGTATTTTTCACTTAGAAAGTCTTATGTTGAACTAGAACGCTATGGTTCAACAGCTCCCCCGATACTCTGACATTTGAGTGTAGGGATAATGAACTACCTTCCCTGGGGAAGGGGTGCAGAGGCAGCAGAGCTGGACGTAACCTGTGAAGATCTCTCAGGTGACAGGCACCCCAGTGAGAACTCCCACTCCAAACATGACTGATTACCGGAAGGAAGAAAGGGTGAGCCAACAGTCCCAGGTGAGATCCCAGAAGTCCTGGGACCCCACTCCTGTCTGCACAGGTCACACAGGCAGGAAGACCCCCTAGGCCACTGGCACAACTGCACTGAACTCCACCCACACCTCCTCTTAGGGCAGGACGCGAGGCACCCCCAACCCCTGGGGGCCGCCTCCCCGGAGCCCAGAGCCAAGGTGGATCCCGGGGGTTAGAGCACAGCTCGGAGCCGGGGAGGGCCAGAGCCAGCCCTACTCTGCCAGTCACTAACAGGGGGGCCTGGGGAGAGTCAACCAGAGTTTCTCGTTCACTTTCCTTATCTGTAAAATGGGGAGACCCCCACATCCCTCACATGGCTGGAAGGACCATTTGTGAAAATTTTATGGAGCACGTAGCACGTGGGAAGAGCCCACGTGCAGCGGCCATGACTGTCGCTGACAGGACGCAAGGCTTCAAGCCAGGCGCTTGGTGAGCGCTGGGGAAGGTGACCTCCATGATCAAGCGTCAGAAGTCCTAGGGCTCTTCACCCTCCCAGATGCAGGAGAAAGCACCAAGGCCGCCTGCTGGGTGTGACACCTGGCAGCGCTCCAGGGTACCCGCCACCCATGCCCTCTGGACCCCCTGGGGGAGCTTCCCTTCCTGGGCACCAGCACTATCCCTTCGCCCCAGGCCTGCAGGAGGGCTGCCCTCGCCGAGAGCCCTGTCTGCCCTCTGCCTACTTCCTCTGCCACCATGTCCCACGTCTCCAGGAGACGCAGCGAGCCATCTGGTCACTGCCTCCAATCACACCTCTCCCGAAATCCTCGCCTCCCCTGGTTCCCTCCCTTCTTCTGATTGTTCCACCTCAGCCTCTGGCTTCTACCCGCCAACCAGACAGAATGGAGCCAAAGCTTCTTCCTCTCAGCACACCCTCTGCTTCTCCTCGTGCCTGAAATGTGTGCTTCTACTGCACAAAGGCCTTCAGGGTTTTGTCCAAATGTGTCCTGGGCCCTAGCATCCTAGAATAAATCACCAATCCTTCTTCTGATCTTATATATTTATTCCTTTGTTCACGGAAGCAGGTGTGCATCCTTGCGAGAACTATTCCTCACGAGCTCACTCTGCACCAAGCCCCGTGCTAAGCAGTCTCGTTCCAACAGTGAACCAAAGGCCAGGTCCTGCCCTCGTACAGTTTACAGGCTAGTGGGAGATGCAGGGATGCAGGCACTCGCGCCCCAGCCTGGTGAGAGCCGTGATAGGAGGAGGGCAAGGGCTGCAGGAGCATGTGCAAAGGCCCAGAGACAGGAGAACACAAGTCGCTTCCTGGGAAATGCCAGTGGCCAGGGAGCTAGACAGGGGCCTGGGCTGCGTGGAGAGCAGCCCCACGAGGGCAAAAACTTCCTCTGTCCAAGTGCACGGCATTCCTCCTGCTTTCACTTCAATTCATTTTCCTTTTCTCAGCCTTGTTCCGCTGCAGCTTTTACAGACAACTTTCTTTTCTTGACTTGCACAGTTCCTACCTTTATGTTTTCCCTCCGACTTTTCATGTCAGGTCCTCTCTCCTCTTCTTACTCCCTGACTACTGCTGGCAGGCCCCTGGGGTTCTCACTTCCTCCCTCACCTTTCACCCATATCCCCCTGGGAGTCCATCCACTCCTGGGGCTCAGCCCCTCATCTCTGTCTCTCTCCCCCTCTCCCTCTTCCCTAGGGGAGCATTCACCAGCCGTGGCTGGGCCTCTCAGAGAGGCCGCCTCCTGCCCTCTTCCCACTGCCCGGGTTTTATTTATTTTTCCCTCTGCAACAGTCTTAGGTCTGACCTCTACTTTATAAGCTTTAAAAAAAAATTTCTTTATACGTGTTCACTATGTAAAAAATTCATTAAACAGTATATGTATAATTTTTCAACTGGTTGATACAAATGTTTTATCTCAATAGGAAGGTTACATAAAAATTTCTTTGTACCTACATGTACGTGATAGTCCACGAATGCCCAGTGGGATCCTGTCACACATACCGCATTTTCAGTGCTGCATTTTCCCCCAGTCCCTTCCTTTTTTACACATATAAGCCTTGTCCCTCCAGACCTACCTCAGCCCCAGGTGATAACATATGTACTAATAGCCTCGATCACCCCATCCACGTTCTTCCGTGTTCATGTGTATATGCGGATATATCTGCATCCATGTGTAGAGCTCTACCCAAGGCAGTGATTACTTTACAGAAGTGGGATCACAGCATACATAGTTTTCTGCACTTTGCTTTTCTCACACAAAAATACTTCCTGGTAGAGCCTTCATGTCAACTGCTTATGCTCTAATTTGTTATTCGTCATCCCTGGATAATATATGGTTCAGTCTAATTTTCCACCACTCTGAACAATGTTGAATTAAACATGCTTAAACAGATGTCATGACACTCTGGTAGTTTAAAGATACAGGACGGATCCTAAGGAGTGAGCTGGATCAAAGGGTACATGTCTTTTTCATTTTAGTAAACACTAACAAATTGTTTATTTTTTAAAGACCATTCATATTTCTATCTGTAAATCTACTAAGGTATCCTTTCCCCTGCGTCTCCTAGGGTTTCACATGTCTGTTAATGAGCTGCCCTCCATAAGGCAAAAAACAGAAGTCAGTTTTACTTTTTCTACTTTGGTCCTCCATCCTGGCCTCTTGGGGAGAGGGATCTAGGGACACCCAAGTCAAATGCTGGTCACCTTCCTGTGGGTTTGCAGGTACCAGCAGCAATTTGACTCAGAAGGAAAAAAGGGAATAGAGGAGTGAAGAGAAAGAAAAGAAGTTTTGATCCATTCAGGCCCAGAATTGTCTTAAGGAGCCTCTGATCGTTTCTTAATTACTGCCTCTCAGCTCATGCAGTGGAGATCTTAAGACTACATTTCCCAGACTCCTATGCCAGCGGGCCGCCTGCTAGGTTCTTCCGACGGGAGGTGATGACTGGAGATTAGAAGGCAGGAGGAAGCTTCTAGCTTTGATTTCTAGCTCCTGTTGGGATTTCTCCAGCAGCAGAGGACACCTCAGATTCCAGCCCCCAGCTTTTCCTGGCAGCCCCGGCTCTGGCTGAGCCCCACCCCCAAAGTAGGTCGGGCATCTCCAGGTGCATAGCCCCTCCCTAAGCAGTCTGAGCACCAGCTGGTCAGGGCCCCTCCTCCAAGCTCCTGTAGTTTTTTCCCTCTTTGTTACTCCAGCCCCAGGAGCCCATGGCAGGCAGCATCTAAGCCCCCAGTGAACCCCACCTATCGGTATTTACAGTATCCCCTCATCTTCTTGAGTAACTTGCTTTTGGCCACCAGACTGTGGCAACGTTGCACGGCTGCCACTTCCAGTTAGGTACAAAGGATTATGACTTCCATCTTGCCCACAGCCTTTCCAACTTACTGGCTTTGATGAAGCAAGTCACCATGTTGGAGAGGCCCACTGAGGGCAACAGACAGGAGCAAGGTGCTCAGTCCAACAGCCCTCCAGGAACTCTACCTTCCCAACAACTACATGAGCTCAGAAATGGACACTTTCCCAGTCAAACCTTCAGATAAGACCTCAACCCTGGCTGACACCTCAACTGCAGTCTCGTGAGAGACCATGAAGCAGAGGACCCAGCTGAGCCATGCTTGGATCCCTGACTCACAGGAACTCTGAGATAACAAATATGTACTGTTTTCAACCATTAATTTGGGGGTGATGTGTGATGTGGCGACTAATTTAGGGTAGTAGCCACTGTTGTAATTATTAGTGTTCAGGTTATCCTGTTATCTTTCTGTGCCCTCAGTTTTCTGATTCTTGTATTACCAATTCCCTGTATTGAATTAGTCTGAGATCTCAGAGTTTGTGTTTTCCTAACAAGACCCTACCTGGGACTTATTCAGGTTCAAATGCCGGTCTAGTATTTAAGATTTTCTACAACCTATTTTTCCACTCTTTTCTCTTCTGGCCAGCTGACATCAAGTTCAATCCCAGTCAAACTAGTCTGCTCACCTCCCTGAACCTGCCCTGTGCTTTCTCACACCCACACCCCAACAAGGGCAATGGGTGGGGTCGGGAGGGAGCACTGGCCTTGGCACCAGGCCTGTGTTCACATCCTGGCTCTGTCTCCTATTAGCGGTAAGGCCTTAAGTAAGTTCCTGAACCTTTGTAAACCTCAACTAGTTTATCTGTCAAAAAGGAATTTAAAAAAAAAATCTACTTTAAAGAGAGCTGCAACAGGTGTTGATAAACAGCTGGCGGAAGGCTCAGCTCACAGCCCCGACTGCCGCGCACACCTTCCCTCAGTCTAGGGTGAACATCCTTCACTTCTCCCCTCGCCAAACACTTCAGGGACCAACTCCTGTTTGAAGATGCCTTCCCAGAGTTCTCGCTTAAACTCATGACATAATTTCTCTACCAGGGAGCCCCAGGTTTCTACTGAAGTATCTTGTGACCCCCTGCGGGGGAGGCGAGGGGAGGGGGAGGAAGGAGCAGCTTCAGGCTCACTGCCACCTTCGTCCCCTCCTGACACCTAACCCTCGGCTGGGTGTTCTGTTAATGGTAAACAAACATATTCTAATACAAAGTACTTCAGATAAAATGCACAGTGGATCAATACCAAAATATCCTAACTAAGAAATGTCATAACTGCTCAGATGTCTGACTTTCAACTTTGTGAAGTGATCAGTAGAGCCAAATCCACCTGGCTCCCCCTTAGGCGTCCGCCACGGCTGGCCTATCAGCACGGCTGTGCACCATGATTACAGAAGTGTCTTTCTAGAAGGCATATTGTTCAAGACAACTTGCCTTATGTTTTAAAAGAGCCCAAGTGCTCACGTGACAATCCTGTTCTCTCAAAAGCAGAGTCTAGGCATGAGCGCAAGACATAATTTCCTCATTTGTTAAAATAATAACAACTACTGTCCCAGACCCGAGTCCAGCTGACCCACCTTCATCTCGGGGTACATGTACCGGTGGATGGAAGGCAGCCAGCAGACAGGGGGCAGGCTGCCGCCTCTCCCGGGGCCAGCGTGCAGCACCCCCTTCTTGTCCTCGTAGAAGGCGGCCAGGTGCGAGTAATGTCCCGGCGTCTCCAGCTGGTGCCTGCACGACATCCATGACACACATGCACAATGAGGATGGCTCTGCCCCCAAGGGCAATGACACGGATGGGCAAAGGCCTGATAAACTAAAAGACCCCTTTTCAGGTTGCCTAGCACGCCTCCGTCCGTGTTACACAAGCTCCTTAGGAAAAGCTCAAACGCGGAGTCTGATACTCCCTGAAGGCGCCGTGGGCACACTCCCCTTCTCACGGGAAACAGGAGGAGTTAACAGACTATAACTAATGCCCATTGTTTCTGAGCGAAGGGTGCCAATGATTGTGTGCTGCTTCCCAGAGAAAGGCTGTTGGCTGTGAGAGAGACGGGGTAACTTGGAAGGCCACACATTTCCTGCTTAATGCTGCTCTTTGTTTAGAAAGCATGCCTGCCTTCCTGCTTTGCTTTTATAAACAGGGAAGAAGAACCATACCCCTTAATGTCTCAAATAATGGAGAACAACCGTCACTGGGTATCACTAAGGACTCATCATTTCTGCATCAAGTAATAAAGTCATTAAAAAGCTCAGTCTTTTTCTCCCACCCCGACCCCGCTCGGGTGACACAGACTTGGCTGTGAGTCATCCTGTCAACTGACTCCCAAACCAAGAAAGCAGTACTGAGACCCTGGACCATTTGGACAAGGGAGCATCCTGACTTCAAGTCAAGCACGGGAGGCCTGTGGGTACCATTTGACATAATATTTAATAGGAATGTAACAGGTTGAATTTAAAATCAAGTCATTAGGGTGAGCCAGAGTCCAGTATGACTGCGGTCCTTACAAAAAGGGGGAATTTGGACACCCAGACACACACACGAGAGCACCACATGAAGAAGAAGGCAGCGATCAGAGTGCTGCACCTACAAGCCGAGGAACCCCAAAGACGGACAGAAGCTAGGAGAGAGGCAAGAAAAGAGCCTCATCTAAGAGCCCTCGGAAGAAACCAACCACGCTGACACCTTGATTTCAGACTTCCAGCCTCCAGGACTGTGCGACAATACATCTCTGTTGTTCTCAGTCCCCAGTTTTTGGTACTTTGGCACAGCAGCCCTAGGAAACTAATACAGAGAGAAATAAAAGGCCCTGGAATGATTTTAATTTTCTTAGAATCCTAAAGAAATCCTTAGAAAGTAAAGCAGAAAAAGGGCCTCTCACTGTCTGTGACACATTTCAGACCCTCTCCAAACACGAGGTTCCTTCCTGTCTAGTGTATCGTGCAGTCTGGGCAGGCACACAGTGGGGGCTCGGAAAGAGTGAGCAAAGGGGAGAAGAGAGCTTTGGGCAAATTTACACTTTAAAAAGGAAAAACAACAATATCAAGTACACTCCAAAAAATGATTACTAAAGTAAACTTCTCTCTGAGCGACAGCTCTCTAATGTGGGGCTCCTATACCTTCTGTTTTAAGCTTTGCCCAAAGAGGCAGTCGTGTGATGCAATAATAAATGACTCGGGGGGTGTGCTCTCATAATCATTTCTTTCACTCTAACAAACGTTCACATGTGCGATGGAAAGTCCACGGGGCGAAGCCGTGTTTGATTACTCTGAGAAGATGGCAGGCTTCAGCTGTCCTTCAGGGCTAGGTGCCAAGGTGATGGAAGTCTGACTACTAGAAAGTAACACAAAGACAATTAAGTTCCAAGGTGTTTTCATGACGACCTAATTTCCTTACAAAGAACAGTGGGAGTCATTTTATTATATGTTTAATACTGTATTTTCTGTGATAAACTGGGCTGTATTTTCTAGGCTCATTGTTTGTTGATTTGCTGCTCAATTGACTGTCTTACCTGTTTGACTACATTAAACTCTGTACTTGAGCCAAGATTCTAAAGAAGAGCTCACTACGAAGTTACAGTCTCTCACACGAAAAGCTAGTGTCAGGATCCTGTCCTCTGCCAGCCCGAGGTACTAGTGACTGATGCAACAGAACAAGGCGATAACAGGGAATACAGAACAGGAACACAGAGATAAATACAAACTGGCAGTTCCCGGAGAAATGTTAGACAACCATTGAATGGAAACCTCAAAATTTAAACACACTGTAGATTTTGCAGTAAACAAGATTGATGATCAAACTGTAACACCAAGATAAACCAAAAGGTACTGAAACGGGGCTGAGAGTGCTGGAAGACAAGCTGGACTTCAAAGACGATGCAGAAGGACCTTCCTGGTGATCTTATCTACGCGGATGCACAGATGAAGGAACGCAGGCCCAGTGGCTATGGCGACTGATCAGGAGATATGACACTGTGAAAACAGAGTAACTTGCACAGTATGTGCTAGTGATCGGAAGCCGCCGGCTTTGGGCCAGATCAAGGATCCCCTGAAGGACCAGAGACACCAGGGTGCCCCTTAAGCCCACAGCCCCTTCAAGGATACAACAGAAGCTATGTGACCATGCAGATGCCCACTACACCTAACCCTGCCTTGCCCTGCCACGCCGGGCACAGATGCACCCAGTGTGAGCATCAGAGACACCTCTGCACGGCAACTAGACTTCATGACCCTCGCGTACTCACTACTGGTCTGAACCAGTCTGTCTCCTGGCCGTGCAAGTACAGAAAAACACGCATTTCCATTTAGCTGGGGTGGGTACAACATGGTGCCACCTTTCTGAAGAGTCACGTGCAATTTGTATCAAACTGTCCATTGTATGTCCTCCAACCCAATGATCCCATTTCTAGGACCAAGGCCTACAGATCTGTATATGGATATGATCATTCACCCATAAGGACACTCATGTTAACAGCAGTGAAAAGAAACAACCTAAATGTTCATAGCAGCACTATTTACAATAGCCAAGACATGGAAACAGCCTAAATGTCC